TATGGACTGTGGACTGGTAGCTGGAAACTGCTGAAACTGCTCATGGGCGCCTCTAATGTGGCAAGCCCATCACTCCAAGAATTTCCCCAATAGGGGATTTATAAAGTATCTGTCTGTCTGTTCCTGAAGTACTGATTACATTTGAATTGATAAGGTAACCTAACAGGTTAAAAAACAAGTACTGCTAAGGTCACGTAGGAGGCTGGCGGCAGACATGCAACACCGCGTATAAGATGCAGGCAGCTAGTTAGCGGTTGCCAATTGGAGTAGAATTTTCCTGAGGAGCTGCCTATATAGAACTTAGAACTTATCTTAACTTAACTACACTTAACTTATACACTTTGGCTTCCTGTACAGAACATAGCACTAAAGTGCAACCAGCAGATGACAAAAGTCTGCCTTTATTTTGTTTTTGTAAAGTATAAATGCCAACTGCGTAGTTCTGCATCTTGACTAAATCATCTGGTGTGCATTCTTACAATTAAAATATAAAAAATTGGTTACATCTGCTGTTGTCTTTGTTGTCTCCCATGTTTTTGAAATAAGTTATTAGAAAAAAATATGCTGATATCCTTTTTAACATCCTGTTGACTGACAGATAAATGCAATAGACAAAAAATCTGTTACATTGGTATAGTGATGTTTTTGAAGACTTAAAAGCAGTTGTAAAACTACAAAAACTACAGTGGGATTGTTGTGAATGTTTGAGGATGTGTAGTTTTTGTTTGAAGACCAGTATGCTTGAAACGCCACCTATGTATTGGTCTTACACATACGGTTGGGTTCTGATAGCTAAACCGTTTTTACCATTCAGTTCAAAGTGAATAAAATACAAAGGAGTGGTTAATCCCTAAATCCAACAAGCCTATTAAAAAATTAACCTCTCTTGTGTTTTTTTGTTTTAGCATGCAGTCTATTGAATGATTTATCTTTTACTTTTTACTTTTCTTTTTTTTTGGCACAAAGTTGTGTTTTTAAGTACAAAACAAAGTAGTCACATAGCAAATTTGTTTCCCATCTGGTCAAATTTGAGTTTTGTTTATTTCACTATCTTTTGAGTTTTAGTTCTTAATACTTTAAAAGTTTTAGTCCTTAAATATAATATTTCAGGTATAAAATATGATGCTACTTTGAAATTATGTCACACAGCTTAATCTAAATAAATTTGAGAAGGGATTTGAAAGTTTCAAAGTCAGATTTCATGAGCAGATTGTACACTGGATTCAGATTTGATAGTGCCATCGAACCCCAACCCCAGTTACACGCTCCTTTGGAGCATTTTACAGCACACAGGACACTCTCTTTTAGCTTCCTGTCAAACTACCACAGTAACCAGTAATCTCCCACCTGTCTTCGGTGATGTGACATATCCCAGCTGGTGCTTTTGGCAGAGGATAAACGGAGAGCTTTGATAATTCTGTCCCACAGTGAAGCAAGTGATTCAAAAGGGACTTTGACTCCCGATTTCTGACTTCATCTCTCTGGCAGAGGAAAGACACAAACATGACAGAAAATGTCTCAAGCTCAACTAGTGGAAAATTGGAAGTGGTCTGCAGTTTAGTGTGGCCGACAGATATTGGCAGAGCAAATAATGAAGGCTGTGATTGAGATTGTTCTTTTGAAGCCGAGCCATGAAGGTTGCCAGAGACCTAAATATACTGTCTCACTTTTGAAGATAAAAGCTGTTAGTTTTGGAATTTTCCGACATGTAATTCTTAAGTTAGACAGACACCACGTTTGATAACATTTGTGGCTTTATTTTGTGTTTATTTAGTCTTTTTAATGTATTTGCTTTTATCAGTGGCTTAAAGACAAACTTGGGAAACAGCCAGGCAGTATAGCTGAAATCCTGACTGCCCAAGATTAAATGTAGTTTATTCAATTCAGTCGGTAAATCGGTGGAAACGAGGTGGCCTGGCAGCTTATTGAAGTGGACTGTCAACAAAATATGTGTTATGTAGTAAGATGTGGATTTATACAGTCTCCAGCATCCAGAGCCTCCACAGCTCTAGCTGGCCATAATGCAGCACTTTCTATATCTCAGGGTTTTCTCTTTGCTTTAGCCTGGCCATTCACATGAATGATGGGCGAGTCGCTCCACACCTGCCTGGCTCTTTCTTCTGTAGCGAGATGTGGGTCTCTCTCTCTCTCTGTCACATCCACATACACACAGACACTGATAAAGGTTAAGAGGAGCAGTGTAAATGTGGAGCAGTGCTGCCCTATTTTACTGGTTATGGATGAAGTGATGGGGTCTGGTTCATCTGACTCCACTGTATCATGTATTCACTGCATGCTACTCCGCGTCCAACAAGCTTTTATTGATTAGCATTCCATTTCTGCTGTGCAGTAGATGCTAAGGGATTTGGCAAAGCACAGTACCACTGCTAATCCCACATTAAAGGTATAATCCTTGAGATTTCAGGCCTGGCTGATTTGGTGACATCCATGGATACTGGTCATGACATCAAGTGTGGTTTAATACTACAGGTCCCACAATTCTGGGGGCGGGAGCAGTTATTTTATCAGAAACACAACTGAAAAGCAACTGGTATATCTATCTATATTACATAGCAACCAAACAAACTGTCCATTAATAATTGGACTTTTCCATGTAATTTTGCACACAACAGTTGGGCATGGTGGAGTTAGTTATATTGCTGAGGAGTTTCCTGCAGCTCTTCATGTAACAGCTCACTGTTCTTGTCACTTTTTGTTCCATTCCTCCTTGCAATTTTTAAAGTGTTTCACTGGTTGGATGCTTTTTTTGTGTACTTGCAATGGAAATGTTCATTTTAGTGGTAGCTTGATGCAGCTCTGACTTGGCAGTAACAGTATTTCAATGAGATAAAATTGCAAAAAGTAACACTGGATTGCATGCTGCAATATGAATGCAGCTTTGGAAATGTTAAGTCCGCCACTAACAGTGAGAACTACTTAAAAGAATGGCAGTTACAGAACATTGAAATGCTTGTACTGAAAAAGTTATGAGTCAGATTGAAGTCAGATTTCTTGAAATTCTTAAGGATTGCAACTTTTAAGGATCAAATCACCCAAATTACAAAAAAAGGAAAAAAAAAACACATCCCCATTTATCTTTAATTACCTCAAAATAAACTAGAACTATCTTCATGGATGGATATCACTATGGTAAGGAAGTATATATTGTGTTTGTTTGTTTTCTTTTTTTGGGGGGGGGGGGGTTAGGATGTATGTAAAACGTTGACTTCTGTTCCCTTGGTTGTAAACTGCAGCTATTTCTGATTAAATCCTGCACCATGGCGATAGAAGAGCAGATGTTAATCATACTATACAGTATGTTGACTGGTGTATGTCCTCTATAATTAGCTGTTGGCTGCTGCAACCTGTGGTGTCAGGCCATGCAAATATGCCCGTGAGCACATCACTATTCTAATTGGCATCGCAGCTCTCAAATTTTCCCTGTGTGAAACTCCCACTCTCCACCGCTGCTGAGCTGCTGACGAGAGGGGAAGGTGGGGGAAGCAAAGACAGAAAGGTTGGGGGAGACAAAATAGAGTATAATCACATGACCTCTACATTCTCTACTGCAGTGACAGCTCACCCAGCAGGGGGGAAATCTGACAGCTATAGCATAAACAGTAATACAGCACTGCAGTACTTACATATCATTTTATCTATTGTATATATCTGTATGTTTCTGTGTTACTGGCAAATCTTCCTCTAGGACTAAATCAGCATAAATAAGCAAAAAACTATTAAAAATATAAACAGAAAATGAAAACAGAAAACAGATCTATAATTATTATATTTGACATTGCTTTTCTCCTTAATAAGCATTTATTGGACACATTAAAGACACTGACTGTGACTCAAACATTTATTTAAAGGTTTTTAATATTAAAATTGCATGCATGCAACATTTAAATCTGAATTCAACTGCAACAAATCTTTTGTGACAACTTGAAGCCAGTACCCTACAGTATACATGCAGTAAAATCATATGGACAGGAAGGAATCCCAGTGGAGCCCATGTTCTTGCCATGCCACCTGTCAAATGTAATATAAAATTGACAGGGATTGTGGTCATGATTTAATCTCCCCTGTCTTGAGAAAAATATTTTACCATTTTATCTCATGGGAGTGACTACCACCACTAATAAGAAGATATATTATTTTGCATGAAGATTTATATTCTCTTGACTTTGACTCCTCATGACTTTTACTTTGAAGTACAGTAAAGCCTACCACATTGCTGAATTGTTGCAGATTCAGGTCAAACAGAGTCAGGGTGCTGCATGTGCTTGACGACTTACTGGAAACGCTCTGCTAAACTAAATGGAACGGAACCTTAATTAGTATAATTGATAACCATGTTTACCCTGCTATTTCATGTCAAAATGGCTGCTGTGAGAAAGGTCTGTTCAGCTGAGATCAAAACATGTGATGTCCTTTGAATGAAACTTAAGAGATGAATTAGCTTGCTACTCTGGATGCGTGTCTCTGTATGTGCTCCCAGCATGAGGAGGATGAGGAGGAGAAATCCTGACAAATTGTTCTCTGACATCCTCACAGAGGCCCATCGGAGGCATCGTTAAGGCCACCTCAGTGCAGGAAAAAATGGTGCTGAATGACGCTGAGGATGTTTGCCTTGATAATGCCAAAGCCTGTTTGTGTCTGTGTCAGGAGTCGGGCAGTTAATCCAGCCTACATCCCAGGTCCAGATATCAATACCATGTTAGAGAGCCGTGGGGCGAGACTGGCTGTCATGCTTGAGGAGAGCAGCCTCTGCTCTACACTCTCTGCTTCTCATGAAGGGAAAGGGTTGGGAGAGAGGGTGGGAGGGAAAGGGTTGGGAGAGAGGGTGGGAGGGAGCGGACATGCACATGGTCTGCTGGATTTACTCTGGTATTCAGCTGTATTGGATCAGTGTTCCTGCCAGACCAGGACAAAAAGAGAAACGTGTTTGGGACTGTGTCGTTATCATAACCAAACATTCTCTTCTGATTTGTTGTTGGCAGGATTTATGAGCGGGTGATAGACCCCCCTCAGATGGAGCTCACCCCAGGCAGTGGAGTGTGGCTCGGCCAGCACAGCCACAAGCATGGCCTGTTCAAGGTAAGACACACACACACACACATCTCTTCCTTCATGCACCTGAATGTGCTTCACATTCAAGATCAACTGGTATAATTGGCCAGATTTGCAGTAGGCTGTGTGGGGGGCGGGGAGAGACAAGTGGAAGAAGCAGGAAAGAAGTACCGTGGGCTCACAAAGGAGATGCAAAAAGGATCAGCGTGTGCTTTGAAACGCTTATTCCCAAGCCCATTACAATGCTGTCGATTTTTAATCACTGCTCGTTTTCTTGGGCTCCTGCATGCACTCACAGCAGGGAGGGGACATGGTGGAGTCTCGCCAGGAAATGCTCACACTCTTGATATTCCCACCTCTCCTGCCCACCCAACATGCAATCAATGGGCCTTTTATTTTTTCTATGTAACATATTATTGGCCACCAGAATCTACTGTGGTGTAAATTATTTCTCCTCCCCGTACTTTGACACTATTGCTGCTGCACACCAGCCAACTGTTCATCCTCCCTCTGCCCCCCCCCCCCCCCC